AGCCTGCTCGTGACAGCAAGGAGGTCCGTCACGTGGCTGTTCTCGGATTTATTTTCGTATCCACAAATGCGCAAAGTGTTGCCACCAGGAGGCTCTCTCTTCCAGGCTGAGAGTGGGTGATACTGCAGGGCACCTGGCGGTCTCTTCGAGCGGAGCGAAGAGGGTCCGATAGTAGTGTTCCGCATTTCCGCGAACATGCCGCAGTTGCAGGTTGAGATTTCTGGTCTTGGCCATCATGATGGCCGGTGTTTCGCTTGGATTGGCCCTGCGGCTCTGCGATGCTAGAATCTGCTAGATCTTGTGTTTGAGCATTCCCTTGTCTGTCAGCAGAAGTGCCATGGAGGTTGTGCACAGTCGTATCAGATGACAGGCGGGGAGGAGTTGTACACGAAGATATTTCCAGAATAGGAGATGTGGACTTTGACCCTTGGCATCGGGCTGGGCACTCCCAGCCTCACCTAAAGCGCGATGTTTTTGCTAGGATGCGGCTGCAGCAGCCGGCCACGTTTTGAAATGTTTTGGAAAGATTTGGAAAGCTGAAACCGTTTGAAACCTGTCCAAAGTTGACCAGCGACCGTCGTAATCACAACGTGATACAGCCCAATCTCATGAATTTGCGCGAGTCTGCGAGTACAGTAGGCAAATTTTGGACCTGGGATGACCCGGCCGCCCTTGGAAAACTCCGGATGTAGTTCCTGGACCCCACCCTACGATGCCAGACGGGTTTGTTTATGCTTGTTTGGATAGTCTCCAGCTTACAAGGTCGGAGGATTTGCAATGGAAAGCTGTGTGGAATATGCGAGCCTGAATAGACTTCGACATTTTTGTGCATGGTCGGGCATGCTCCAGCCAAGAGACCTCCAGACTGTGGGTTTTTAGACCAGAGTCTCGCAAGGCAGGCGATCGTGCGAGTGAAGTTCGTTGACAGCCTGGACATGTTGGAACTCGCACCATCGTCAAAGCCTGAGAGGCTGAAAATTGACATCGGTGCATGCGCATTGACAGCCCAACAGCCCACTGGCATCCCACCCGAGTTCAGACTCGAAGCCTCGAGGTACCTCACCCTCATCCAGCCCGCGCCGAAGGCCCCATTGCCAAGAACCGCAGGTTAGCAATGCTTCTTGCTTCTATATGTTTTCAACGCACTCTGAGGAGTTCTGAATGGGTGCATAGCGTACAGCTACGAATGAAGCCGGAAACAACCTTTGCAGGCGTCATCCGCAGAAATTTCATTGGAAAGGGTGGGCGCGGAGGTTGTCCTCCGATTTTCTTTACATGGAAGTGCAGCGTATTCGGTGCATCAAGCTGTTGGCCGTTTGCGACGTCGTAAAGCCATAGCCGAACACATTGCCAGGGTGAAGGTGGCATCAGGAGTGGAGACCAGGCGCGGGCTTCATGCCCAGTATGAATGTTTTGTCGCGTTTTTCAGCGTCAGCGCCTTTGCATGGTGTGACCTTTGTTTGCTGTTGCTTGTCTTTGTTACGTCTCGACACGAGCCTCCTCATCCCAGTGAAGGTTATCATTCTGGCTCCACCTCATCACAAAGGAAAGGCCGGACCGGTGTAGTGTTTAATTTCATCTTATGTTTATACACACTATACACTATACGATCACACACTGAACTTACCATGGGCCCCGCAGCTCTGTTCGAATTTCCACTTTTCGAGTTTCCACTGAGATCGCCCCGGGGCCTAGTTCGCATTTTTCTGAGGGTTGGTCTGGGAAGCGTGTGGGCCCTGGATACCCTGACGGCGGCACTAAGAGCATTGCGCTCGATGAGCTCCCTTCCTCCCGGGAGACAGTGCCGCTCCCTTGTATGCTGGAGCTCTGCCCGTGCATACTCGGGGCCGATGGAGCTGACTGTTTTGAGTGGAGCCATCATCCGCAAGTCCTTGTACCTTTTGCACCAGGCGCTCCATTGCAGGGTCATCCTCTGCATGTCTGTGTACCTACTTTGCATTGCAGAGCATCCTCTGCGTGTCCTTGAGCTTTGCAGGCGCCAGGCGCTCCATTGCACCTTTTCTCTTCTGGGTCGGGCTGCTTTCTTACTTTTGTTTGTCTTCGTCGTGGGTTCTTGTGTCCTCGTCTGTTTCGTAGTGTGATCCTCAAGCCGGCAGGCTGGAGGTGTCGACCCTTTATTGCACTCCCACTGAAATCGCAGTTGTTGGACCTTCGCCTGTGCGCATCGCGAGCGACATGTTGATGATGCCCACTCCATGGGTGTCGGGTCATGCGGGGCCCAAGAATTGAGGCATTGAGACCAAAAAACACAGAGAGCGTGTTTACATGTTTTACGGTGTATTCGTCGCCTCCGCAGGCTCCGCGGGCCACCAACTGGGCCCAAAGCCGTCCCGAGCAGCTGATGCTCATGATGCTCCTTCATGTGCAGCGTCTTCCTGCTGATGAAAATGCGAGATTTTGAATCACAATCCGTCAAGCGGTTGATCAATCAGTCAATCAACATAAGTATATCATGCATATTAGGTTGTATGATGTCTTATATTGCAATATATTTTTTAAGAGAGTGGGCCGCATTGCAGGTGCGTGTTTTTCATACGGAAATGCGGTATTCTGCGGGTTTTTTTGCTTGTCTGAGCAGATGCGACATGCGAGTGATGTATATTTTTCTTCCGGGCCCCCCAGACGCATTTGTCATCTGTTTACAACTTTTTAAAACATAGAAATACACAAATGAATAAAGACATAAATAAATACATGTATATATGTATGTATATATATATATATATATGTGTATATGTTCCCCCCCTACCTCAAAGATCCACCGTTTTAGCGACTGGTAACCAACCGAATCCCTTCGGATGCTTCCTTCTGAAAAGAAATGTCCCTGTAGCACATATTTAAATATTTAAATATTATTGTTTATGCTACCCGCACCCATTGCGGGAATACTATTGTAGTAGGTTTAGGGTTTAGGGTTTAGGGTTTAGGGTTTAGGGTCTAGGGTCTAGGGTCTAGGGTTTAGGGTTTTAGGGTTTTAGGGTTTTAGGGTTTAGGGTTTAGGGTTTAGGGTTTAGGGTTTAGGGTTTAGGGTTAGGGTTTAGGGTTTAGGGTTTAGGGTCCCCGCCCCGCCGCCCTGTGGTTTGGGCCCCCCTGTGGGGTGCTGTGGTTGGGGTGTGGGTTGAGGGTTTAGGGTTTAGGGGTTTAGGGGTTTAGGGGTTTAGGGGTTTTGGGTTTTGGGTCTTGGGTTTAGGGTTTCGGGTTTAGAGTTTAGGGTTTAGGGGGGTGGGGGTTGGGGGGGGGGGTTGGGGGGGGGGGGGGTTGGGGGGGGGGGGGGGATACCATGGGGGGGGGGGTGGGGGAGGGGGGTGGGGGGGGGGGGTGGGGGGGGGGGGTGGGGGGGGGGTGGGGGGGGGGGGTACTGACACGGGACCGGAACCATATATATATATATATATATGGATGTATGTATGTATGTATGTATGTATGTATGTATGTATGTATATGTATGTATGTATGTATGTATGTATGTATGTATGTATGTATGTATGTATGTATGTATGTATGTATGTATGTATGTATGTATGTATGTATGTATGTATGTATGTATATATATATATATACATATATACATATATATATATATTATGCAATGCAAATGTGCGTGTACAGGTGGTCTTGATGCCTGAATTGGTTTCATGCAAAGCTAATGGGAGTTCTTGTGAACCCGATTGCTGGTCTTCCATCTTGATGGCATAGGGTGAGCTTGCCCTGTACATTCAGTACGTGCTGGTGATCGAGACATTCGATTCGCAATCGAGATGGTTGCACCTTGTTCCACTTTGTTGCGCAATTTACGGCGCGAACACCAAACACCAACAACAATTGTGTGAGACACCTTCAGGTGAAAAGGCCTGCATGTGAGAACACGGTCCCCCACGACAAGCTTGCATGCGTAAAATGGGCGGCTTGCCTTCTCCACTGATGGCTGTTGTTTTTGAGCTCCAGCTGTACCAGGTTGGTGTGGTCGAGGTGCCGGACGTGGGTGATGGATCGCTCAAGGTGCGTGTGCAGGCAAGACATGCGCTGCAATATCAAATTGCAGTTTTGTGAACTCCCTTCGAAAGATCACTTCGAAAAGATGTCAAGCAGTAAATGCTATGTCGATCGATGCAAACGTAGCTGGCAGCAGAGGGTGGTCCAGACTGTAGATCCTGCTTGTACTTCTAAGCCTTTCAAGGCAGAGGCCTCTGCTGTGACTTGCAGGATCCATCGGATTCTGTCTTCCTGGCGAGCGTTGAGACCTTCTCTGGCAGTGTATCCTTTCGTTTGCCTGGGTTTTTGCTGCAGCTATCACGATGCATTTCAGGCCACCGTGCTTGTGCTCAGCCCGACGCATGTCCAGAATCTGGTCCCTGTGCACGCTGGCTGTATCGTGTTTGGAGTTCTGTGCTGCCTGCTGATCAAACACTTTCGAGTCGTTCCGGTGGCAGGATGGCACAGCTGTAGCTGGAACGGCTGACGCAGTGGCGTCACGACAGGCACAGGCGGATGCCATCCGCCAGGCAAGTTGGCCGGAAGTCAAGCTCGTACCCCCTAGCCCTAGTCCGCCCAGACCCTCTACAGTCCCTTGAGAAACCTTGCCTTTTCGAGTCAAAGTTGTTTACCGATTGAGCCGTCGAAGCTCCTCGAATTGGCCCGAGGGTCGCTGGCCCTCACACCTGCCACCGCTCCTCGTGACCTTGAAAAAGACACAGAGTCATCAAAAGCTGCGGGTTGCTGTACTGATCTGTCCTGTTTTGAATCAGTGACAGGATCAAGACGGGTAGCGATCTGTACCACCATTGAAGCCTGGCAAGCTCGTGGTTTTATTCGGAAAAGACGGTAACCGACACCTGACTTGGATATCGAATTGCCGAATGCTGCTTATTTCCACTGCTCTTCCCACAAGCTCCTCCATGGCTAAGTGGTGGCTGCTTTGGGCTCGAGATGCCGGTGTATGCTCGTGCCACCCTTGAGTCTAGCCCCAGCTGTCGTGCTCAATGGCGGACGAGTGCTTCATTTTACGAGACCATCCGCACCCATTGCCATCACACTGTCCCGCAATTGCGCGCAAGGTCCACTTCCTCGTGGAAGAAATCCATGGCTGTCGCACCGTTCGACAGTGCTTCCTTCTCTGGCATTTTGTGTCCTTGTACATCGGCTTTCCACTCCGTTTCTATGCACAAAGTGTTTGGATGTTCGGCTTCCCACCAGAAGTGATGAAGGAAGGCTTAAAGCGTCTGCAAGTTGTCGTAGAGGCTAAGGCCAGGTCCCAATCCTGGGAGTATCTGAAAGAATGGAGGCACGTCGCTACAGCGCTACAAGATGCACAAGTTCCACATGATCCCGCATCTCCCACACATGTTCCCAGAGTTCCCTCAGTTCCCTCTCCCAGGCACACGGCATTGCTGGTGCACTATGCGGCAGGTGCCAAGGCAATGGCGGATGCCGCGCCCTTTATCGACCTTCTGGCCTGCTTTGCCAGCCGGCAGGGTATGAGCTTTGTTTATGACAAGACGGTCCACTTCAAGCCAACCTGGCTGAGGTACAACCAAGTGGGAGTCCTGTCCGACGCCTATATTCTGGGACGGGGAGCGAGGCCTTTTACGAGCGACGGTCATCGTCATCGCTCTGCAAGCTCGAGTTGGAATTGGACGGCATCGAACATCACAGATGCCGGTGCCGTTGCCGGGCGATTCTTGCTGGACATTTTTCAAAGGGTGACGGAAGCTACTTACCCAGGCAGGTTCAAGCGTGGGATCGCAGCGGGCGACGCAGAGCGGACACTCCTGAGGCTCAGCAACAGAGCTGTGTGGAGACGCACGCTTGGAATGCTAGGTGTTGTCAGTGGTCCGCCTCTGCGGTGGGTCAAGGCGCTTGCCATTCAAAGGGCTTTGTCAAGCCACGAGGCGGTGGTCTATCTGGACTATGATGTCACAGTCCGTCCTGATTGTCTGGGAGCGGCGCGGCTGGTGCAGGACATTTTCTCCGGCAGCATCGGTACAGGCCCACATATTGTGGTGCGAGACAGCCCGCCTGGCGCGGATTGCATGAACACTGGCTTCATTGCTGTCCGGAAATCCCCCGTGTCCAAAGCCTTCATCAGACTTTGGAAGTCCAAAATGGGCTGGCCCGGAGCTGTCCACGGAGATCAAGGCCCCTTAGCAGAGACAGTTCTGCAGCTGCTGGACATCGAGAGACGGATGGAGCAAGTCCAAAATGGCAGCAGATTGACTGAGACCTATGGCTATGAGAGCACGTGTTTGCCCATGCTGTTTCCCACGTGGTACGGTGTGTCCAGCTGGCGGGAATACTGTGACTGTTGGCAGCAGATCTTGCGGCTGCAAGTGGGGCCTTACCAGAATAGACATTCACGTTTCATAAAGTTCATAAATCCACAGAAGCTTGATGTGAATTTCGTGCCTCAGCATCTGTACGATTTGCCAAAGATGCGTTTGTTGCCGTGGCAGCTCAGCAAGCAGATCAAGCAGATCAAGCAGGTCTCCCGTTTGGGTAACGTTTCAAAGGATTCAAGCGTCTTGCTCCCGGAGTTGACTCCCCTGATCGTTCACTGGGCAGGCTTTGGGAATCGAACGCACCTCATGCGCGAGTATCTGGTAAGACGGTTTGGCGTTAAACCTACGTTCTTCAAAATGGACCGATTTCAGCGATGCTCTGCTCTTGCAGCCATCAGCCCGCGTGTGAATCGAAACTGCATCCATGGGTCTATGGGTTCAAGCATTGAGCACATTTACGAGAATTGGGACGAGTCAAAACTTGATAACATGATGCGCGATGTGCGGAAGGCAGAAGCCACTTTCGCTGCAGCCCTGGTCGCGGGTGAGCTGCCGGACCACACGAGTGACCATTGGACAGTCACTGCTCGTTTCAGGGACGACCTGCTGTCACTGCTCGGTGGCAAGACAACTACGAGGGACATGACTGTGCTGGAGCTTGGCACATATGTGGGCTACACTACAAGCTTTCTGGCAGGTGCTTTCCGCTTTGCATTCGGAGTTGACTCACAGGCAAGTTTCGTGAAGCATGCGACCGAGCTACTCATGGCCAAAGGGCAAGAAAATAGGTCGACAGTGCTTCATCTGAACACCTTGACCGATGATTTGTCAGAGCTTGCGAGAATTTCGAAAGCATTGGGTGGGATCGATGTGGTGTTTATCGATGCCGACCACAGTTTCGCAAGTGTCGTCAACGACCTTGGCCTGGCTCTCTACGGAGGTTTGGGACCAAATTCCAACGGCGGCCGCCCGCGTTACATCGTCTTAGACGACGTCTTCTCACGGGCCGAAGTACGCCAGGCTTTTGTGGACTTCGAGAATCTGGGCCTGCTGAGAAGAGTGAACTACTTGGGACATGAGGAGGGAATCCTGTGTGAAGTTGCCCCACAGCCACTTCAGTCCATGGCTGCGTAGAGAAAGGTCCGCCGCGTTTTCGCATGCATCCTGTTTACGACTGACCTGACTGCCCTTTGTGGTGCCCGCAAATAAAGGATTGAAGCTGGTGTTGAGCAGGCGGCTGCTGTGCCAAAGCCGCAGGCGCGCAGCGCCACAGCGCCATTGGCGGTAGCGCATCTCGGCCATGGCAATAGCACATTCTGAGTCCAGAGTCTGCGCACGCACCAACTCAAGGATCACAAGGTTGTGTTGTGCAGTGACAATGCGAATTCTCAAACAAAGCCCCGAATAAGAAGCATTAAGAAGCCAAGTCGAACCATTGCTCCTCTCCTCCCCCAGACTGGGCCGAGGCCCGGAGATCGAGTTCGGGTGAAGCAGTCCTTGCCGGCACACGCGGGAAAGGCCTGCACTGCCCTGTTGAAGAATGCCCTCATGACCGTTTAGCATCCACTAGGTCGCGATGACAAAAAGTAGTTGCCATGCAAATCAGGGTCGTTCTAAGGTCCGCTTCTTCAAGTGAAGCGTTATGATGAAGGGCTCTGCGAAAGTCGCACGAAACAAGGCGAAAGAGGTACACTTTGCGCGAAGTTTACCGATTTCATAGAACAGCGCGCAAGAGCAGAAAAGTAGCGGGCGAACGCAACAACGAAGAATCTGTAATTTCCTCAGACATTCCCATGATAAGACAGATAAGAAGCTTGAAGACTCTAGAAACAAGAGCACTTCAGCTTTGTCATTTTCTCGTCTTGTTTCTGCGTTAGCGCTATACTTAAATGCCAAAGAAGGCGTATGTCATTCACTTAAGCATCTCTTCGCCTCCATCCACTGAGGATAAAGACCCCCAAAGACAGCCTACCCTTTACCATGCATAACCGAGAGTTGTCTTAGAATCGATCGTTTCTTTGTGTGTTTCTTTTGATTTTCGCGCGACATGTGGACGCAAAAAGGACTAGCAGTGGGCACGCGTATTCATGAAGGTTTTTGTTCAAGGAGATTGGCGATGTCAGGAACGTAGGCAAGCAGAACGGCAAGCTACAAAACTAATTCTAAGCGACATCTGCCGATGCACAGCAACCCGAGCCTGAGAAGCTTAAACCTTAGCGAGTTGTCGATGGAAGATGTTTCAGACTAGTTACTAGTTGGTAGGCAAACGCATAGGATAGTTGTTGATTGTTGAAATACCTGTTGGCAAGGCACAATATGCATCATGCAGTTCTGCTCACAAATTTGGTGGAAGCTTAGAGACTTAGAGACTTAGAGACTCAGCGACAAACAGCGGTTTGTTTCTTGAATTTGTTATAAATTTTAGCGTGATGACCTAGAAGTGTGTGTTCTAATGGGGCTTCTAGTGTCTGTGATGGGTGGCCTGGGTCTCTGACATTCCCTAGGAGGGGCTTGTGGTGAGAAAATGGAAATGGCCATCGCTACCTCCTTTCTTGCACCCTTCAGGTCGGCGTTGTAGAAACGGACGACGACGGTTCGGGCTGCTGCTACGTTGTGTTGTCGACCAAGTGCTCTTGCAAACTGCTGTGCTGCATTGTGCTGCGCTCTGTGTCTTGCATTTACGGCTGTCGCCCGCAGCCTGCCACGCCCAGAGCCCTACCTAGCGCCCGCCTTCTACGAACACGCACTTAGGGGGGTAAGGGAAGCTGAAGATTCAGCGTGTCCAGTCATCAATGCAAACGGGATCTGGCGGAATTGTTTAGCATTAGGGAGTATGTTTTAGTCAGCAGTTGTCCGGTAATCGCATGGATCGCTCTCCCCCGAAAGAACTCCCCCCCGCCCCACACCTCGCGATCGAAGATCAACACCGGTGGTCGGAAGACCGCAAAATTGCAAGAGCAACGAGCGCAACAATCACCGCCGCAGGAGCCTCCCGAACCTTGCGGCGTGGCATTTGGTGCGTTTTGGGTCTCGGGTACTTTGGTGTAGGTCTTGTGGTGCTATGGCCGGGGTTTCTGCGGGTCATGGGAAGGTGGGCTCCGGGAGATGTTTCACAAGGACCTGTGGACCTGCGGCTTCACATGGCTTCACCAGAACTCTCCCCTTGCTGGGGTCCGCGGATAAGGTTTGAAGACGATGTGGGTCGCTGGCTCAGGGTTGCTGGATGGCCATACCAGCGGGCAGCTGTCTCTCATCTTCATTGACTATATTGACTTGCGTTGCCTTCATGGCATCCGCAGCCGCAGCGTTCCCGGACTTGAGGTACTGCAAACCGACTTCGTGTCAATCCCGTCCATCTGGATCTAGCGTAATGCGGCCACAAGGCAACTCCCGTGCAAGTTGTCATTGTTTGTTCTGTTCATCGCCAGTTACGCTACCAAATTGGTCACGTCGTACTTTCAGCGTGTGTGCATGTGTGTGCCATATGCGGGCATTTTGCGGCACGGCGCTTGACGCCCCTCTCAAATGAAGCAGCCGCACATCTGTTGCAGCATGCGTCAGGCTCTTCAAACACCGACTGAAGCCGTGAATTGAACTAGCAGGATTGCATAGAATAGCTTGCCTGTCCAGTGGGACTCCTGTCGGCACGTCCGAAGACAATACATATAATGCATTTGCACATGCGCGTTGGACAGTTGAATGCCACTCATTGGCAGTTGAACTTGAAATATCGCTCCTGACCCTAGTTGGCGAATCATGGCGAAGTCACCTCATTTCTCTTTGCTAGCGTGTCTGAGGGTTCACGGGGCAGGAATGACAGCCAATGATACTGGATTCATACGCGAGCATGACAAAACTGGTGCCGGCATGTGTGTTTAGCGTGCGTGGGCGGACTTGCCAGAAGCAAGACGGAGCTCCAAGAAATGTGCAGGGCTCGAGAGCAGTGCCAAGCCGAAATGCAGGCCTTGCTTATGGGTCTACTTGACCGTAGCTTCCCAAATCTTTCAGAACAGAACAAAGGCTTACAAGCATCAGCAGCCGACGCGCACGCACCTCACATGAACGTCCTTGTAAGGAGCAGCTTCAGAATCCAGGGTGACGATGCAATGTCATTCTGATTTGCCTTAGCTGAGGCTTTCAGTCCTTAATGCGCCTATTGCGCATCATAGTTTGTTTGCTGCTACCGTGAACCAGTATGGAGCCGGTCGTTAGACCCCCTGGCATGCAAGTCAGGATGTTGCCTGCGGCAGGGCTGATGCCTTCGGCCGACCCGATGCCATTGGGCCCCAGGGGCGGCAGCACGAGCAGCTCCACATGTTTCTCTTACTCATTCCCGGCAGTCGCTGTAGGTTTGACGGCAGCTCTGACCAGAAGTTCGCGACGGCAAGGTGTGCAGCGTGGCACCATGACCACACGGGTTGGAGATGCTGAGACGCCAAGCAATGGCATTGAAGAGTGGTTATTGAGCTTGGACTTGCCAACTCCTCTGAAACCTGTCTTGGGCAGTTCTGCATGGGCCAGTTTCGCGGCATCGCTTGTGCAGATGTTCGTAGTTGCAGGGTTGTCAGCAGTAGGCACCTTCATCGAGCAGGGTGAGACCCCTGCCTTCTATGCGCAGAAATACCCCGATTCATCAGGACTGATTTTGGCTTTAGGCTTCGACCACATGTACAGCTGCCCGCTCTTCTTGGGATTGCTCGCATGGCTAGCCGCATCGCTCATTGCCTGCACTGCCACGACCCAGCTGCCACTGGCAAAGAGAGCACAAAGATTCAATTTCCATTCCTCTGCGGCCATGAAACGCAGAGGTTCCTTTTTGATGCGTATCAACTGCCCAGAGACTGACTCAAACGCCACAAATGCCACGAGCAAGCTTCGGCAAATGCGAGATGAGTTAAAGAAGCGCGGCTTCATTGTCCGCTCGGATGATGAGAACATGCCAACCCAGTTAGCAGCATCCCGGGGTCTCTTGGGCAAGTTTGCGCCGATGGTCGTGCATCTTGCGCTGCTTCTGAGCTTGGCGGGGAACGTGGTTGGTTTGGTCTTCGGGGCTTCCAGTGAGGTCCTTATTGAAGATGGAGGCTCTGCAGATCTTGGCAGGGTCTTGGAAGCTGGCCGCAGAGCCAAAGGTCCTCTGTACGACTTTTTGAGCCCGACCAAAAACCTTATGGATGCCATCGACGTGAAAGTGGAAGACTTCCGCATCGAGTGCCCTGGCACCGCAGCACCTGGAGCTTGTAAAGCTTGTAACGTTGAGTTGGGCCAAGGTACAAGGATGATGGAACCATCGATCAGTTCTATTCCAAGCTTGCCATCGAAGATTCGAAAACTAGGGAGCGACTCTACAGTCGCTTGACTGCCTGCCTTTTGCAACACAATCATGTAACAGCATTTCTATTTCGTCTGAAGATTATTGAAGGTGATGAGATCTTTGTGAACAAGCCCTTGCGCTTTGGAGGGGGCACGTCGCTCCGGCCTGATGAAGCTAATGCAGCCCAGACCTCGGAAATGCGTCGGAGCATGCTTGACAGGATCTACCAAGCGGACTGGGGCATTGACAGGCTACAAATGTGCCTCCTGACTTGCTTGATGTGCAATGATCTCATCCTCCAAAATTGAGGGGTTTGCCAGCAAAGCTTGCAGCAACGGTCAAGTCGAGTGACAGCCAGATGCTGTTGCACTCTGCATGCAGTGTTTGCACTGAAATTCATGAACGATATACACGGCACAGCCAGGTACCTAAATGGTTATCCGATAGTGGTGCCATGTAAAAGTCTGCCGCCCGAGAACGGAGAGCGATCGCATCACTGGCTGGATTTGTAGTTGAAATTGCAAGCATGTTCCCTTAACAAAGTTTGGTTATCAGCATGCTCGTCAGGTGGGCAGCATTTCTTCCAGCGGAACTAGTCATGGCCGAGGACGCCATACCATATCCGTGCAGCAATGACATGGCACATATTGGCACCGAAGTTGGTCAATGCAAACTACAGTGGCCATCAGCTTCATGCCACTTCAGCACGTCATTTCGGGATCTTGATTTGCCAGAATCCCACGACCGTGAAGCAGATCACGAAGCCAAAAGAAGGTCAGAGTCCTGGCACGCTGTAGAAATGGAGAGTGCCAGTGCATATGGCTGATGTAAGAGAGAAGTTCAGTTGTCAGTGCACGGTCATGCTCAGGAATCGTCCTGGTTCTCAACAACATGCGCAACGTCCAGGCCTGTGACCGGATATGTCGTTTCGCCAGAAGTGGGCACTTCGCACATTTGTGATATGTCACACGTGCAGGTTTATGGGCTAGACAAGACCCTGGCTGGTGTCCTTCGGTCTCCCACGGCTAAGGCGTGCCCGCATGATTCAGACAGACTTGCCACAGCACTGTCATAGCTCTGTTCCTCGTTGCATGTGCAGACCTTGCAGGTGGAAAGGAAAATGGAAGGCATGCCAATCCAATTTGGCGAAGACGCTAGCCTGCTAACTTCAACAGCTTGCTGATAAGAGGAGAGATGGCCTGTTGCCGTGCTTACAACATCAGGAGATCACTGTTGAGGGCAAGACCAAACTGCGGCTGGATAAGATTGTCGGCTCCACGGGCCTAATAGCCTGGATGCCCAAGAGCTTGAGTATGAAAGTTTCCATGTGCGAGTAGAAGCGCTGCAATTGAGTGGTGCTCTTGGAAGGTGAAGAATGACCCCGGTGTGCCTCTCGTTTATGCCGGCAGCAGCCTCGACAGGGTGGCGCATTTATTGGCTATCTGGCTAACCCCGTGTGATCCCGTGTGCAAAGAAAAAGGTGCGAGCACCGAGGCTACGCTCTTTTGATGCCCGCGACGCTGCTAAGCGTGTTGCCGTTCGTGCAGGCAATGACGGCCTCAGGCTGTGACTGCGATTTGTCCGTCTGATTCTGGGCAGGTGTGGGTGGCAGTCAACAAGGATGATCGCAACCAGCCGCACCGACCTGCTTCTGACTTCCTGGCAGATGGTGTGGCGCTTCACTGCTTCGCAATGCAGGCTCATGGTCAGCGGACGAGCCAATCGCAATCAGCTCTCCTTCGAGGCGGGCGTCTCATTGAAGAATTGGGTGTCAGGGACCTGAGGCTGCTTCTGCTGTCCATGCAAAGAAAGTATTCAGACTCACTCGAAACTCGGGGTTGCTGCCTGAACATCGTCAGGACGAGATGAAGGCTGCGGTTTTATCGGTGGCCACTGCGTGAAGCAAAATTTAGGAAATGTTGAAACCATGTTGGGCACCTGCGCACGTTGCATGCACGTTGTATCAGTATCATCTGGTTTCTCAGCAAAGCAACCCTCGCGGTCCCAAAAGCCAACATGGCTGTGGCTGCTAGAGTATGGTAGTCGCGGGGCACACTTGCTCAAGCTCCAAACCCAGTCGGCGGCTGTGAGGCTGCCTTTCGCTGCCTTGGAAAAGATTGCGTTGTGGTCTTGGCTGCTTCGGCTCTGGTAGTCGTAAACGCTTGCGCGCACCGCCTCGGCAGCCGGGCCGGCCTAAGCCACTAGACGTGCATGTCGACGGTCAAGCGGTGCGCTTCGGAGTTGCCAGTCCACGAGGTCGGTTGTAGATATGGACAGCGACCGCGAGTGGAGGGAAAAGACGCCGGAGTGTGGGACGAATGACAATACAGGCTTGATCAGGCTTGCAGACCCCTCAGAGTCTGAAGCTTTGCTGCAGGCGAGCAGGGCGCTGAGGAGGTTTGAGGATTCCAAGTCCCAGGCAAGTTTCAAGGGTGTCCCATGTCACCAGAAAGTTTTCAGGGGGTCGAAAGGTTCCAGGAAGGTCCCAAGATGCCCAATAGGGTACTTCAAAGAGGAAAGGCGTTTGAATTCGTCTGCTCTGCGAAAAGCCCCAAGATGCCCAGTGGAGAATTTCAAAGAGGAAAGGCCTTTGAGTTCGTCTGCTCTGCGAAAAGCCCCAAGATGTCGAAGAGGCAAGGCGTTGGAATTCTTCTGTTTTGCGACAGGACTCAAGACGGCCAATAGGGAACTTCGAAGAGGCAAGGCGTTTGAAATCATCTGCTTTGCGAGAACCCGAAGACTCCCAATCGGGAGCTTCGCCGGCTGCTTTGCGAAAGATGCCTAAAAGGGAACTTCGATGGGGAAAGGCGTTTGAGTTAGATGCCCAATAGGGAATTTCGAAAAGAGGAAGCACGTTTGAATTTGCCTGCTCTGCGAAAGGTCCCAACTACCCAATTGGGAACCTCGAACAGGAGGGGCATTTGAATTCGTCTGGTCTGCGAAGGGCCCCAAGATGCCCAAGAAGGAAATTCGAACAGGAAAGTTGTTTGATTTCGTCTGCTTTGCGAAAAGCCCAAAGACTCCCAACAATTCTACATGCCCACATAATTGTCAGTATATATATTAGTAGTAGAACTGTGTGAGCGAAGAGAACACACCAATAATACAAGTGTAGGGTTTTAGGGCTTAGGGTTAAGGCTCCGGGTTAGGGTTTAGGGTTTAGGGTCGCCCAGAGAACTTGTGCCGCCCAAGATTTCTCTTGATGCAGACCTCCCCCCGCCCCATGTGCGAAGGCTGTGCTTGTATGACAGGTTTTGCAGATAAGCGGGGGGTGTGGGGGAGGCCCCCCCCATTTGCAAATACTGCGCCTGTGTGGCAGGTTGGTTTTGCAGATAAGCAGGGAGTTGGGGGGGGCAGCCACCGCATTTGCAGATATTAAGTGTTGTATGATGGCTTGTGGGGCGCGCAGGCGCTGCCCCCGCCCCTCCCCGCAAATACTGCGCTCGCATCACGGGTTTTCGAGATAAGCTTGTATTCAGATAAACAGGGGACAGGTTTTGCAGATAAGATAGATAAGCGGGGGGTTGGGGGGGGGGGATTAGCCCCCCCCCCCCCCCTTTTGAGAAGATGTTTCAGGTCCCGCAGGTGGGCCCTGAAGGATTCCAAAAAATTCTTCGAGGTCCAGCATGTGGGCCTTGAAGGATTCCCAAATACTGTGTTTGCGTGACGAGTTTTCGAGAATAGCTTGTATGGGGTCCGGGGGGGCGCAGCCCCCCGCATTTGCAAATACCGTGCTTGCATGACGGCTGTTGGAGATGAGCTTGTGTGCTGACAGACCCATGTGCAAATACCGTGCTTGTATGACGGGGTTTCGAGACAAGCTGGCGTGCCGGGTTTGCGCACCCCCTCCCGGGTTCCGGGTTTTCGCAGCCCCCCCCCCCTTTGCAAAACTGCATAGACTCGTTTATTTTTCCAGCTGACCGCTGCTTCTTGAACTTGTATTTGTGGCGACGTGAAACAACACCAGAACCGTCCTGGACCATGACATACTGCAGCCCTTGCTGTTCCAGATTCGTCGCTCATTTGCTTTTGGCTCAAGGTCACGGCCCAGGTGCTGCATTGGTTCCAACTTGTCCCGTGAAGCTTTTCGGAGTCTAAAATGCAGCGTGCAGAGACAGCCCAGCCGTGCGGGAAAGCACATGGTACCTCGGCGTATTTTGTGCTGTGACGCTCTCTTGTGCTGCTTCTCCCTTGAGGGGCATGTGTTGAGCCCTAAACCCTAAACCCTAAACCCTAGACCCCCAAGGCGTGAGCAAGCGGACGTCTCTGGCTTCCCTTGGCCTGGAGCCACCGAGTGGGAAGCTTCTGAGGATCCTGCCGGAGGGTAGGGTTCAGGGTCTGGGCTTTTGGGGTTGGGTTCGGGTTTTGGGGGGGGGGTGGGGGGGTGGGTTTAGGGTTTTGGGGTTGGGAAGTTGGGTTTAGGGTGTCGGGGTTGGGTTTAGGGCTAGGGTTTCGGAAGGTTTTGGGGCTGGGTCTAGGGTTTAGGGTTCAGGGTTGAGGGTTAACAATCTTGAAGCCTAGTAGGGTTTACAGCAGCTTAGGGACGTTTAGGGGTTAGGTTCAGGATTTGTTTAGAGGCCGGTCGCTGGTGAAGGGTTTCGGCGGCGAACTTGGTCGAGGGTCGAGAGTTTAAGGTTTTGCTCTGTTAACAAAGCGTTTAGAAAGCAAGGCTTTAGGATTCAGACTAAGGGTTTTGGAGTTGTTTAAAGTTATTGAGGGTCAAGGGCATGGAGCACACAAGGGTTTAGGGCTCTCATGGGGTTGGCAGAGGAGAGTAGGCCTCCTCGAGATTGATTTCGGGTTTCTTGTTTAGGGTTTCAGGTGTACGAAATAGCCTTAGTCTAGCTTTAAGTTCAAAAGTCGTTTCTAGTGATGACGCCAAACTTGTGCTTAAAGCACGTTTGTGTAGGTGTAAGATATGGGGCGGGGCAACAAAGAATGAACTCGGCGCAGCATTCCCATGATTGTCGTTAGATTATTCTACTTTCTGCTACTACTCGCTGAACCCTAACTGTGAAACGAAGAACCGCGGTGGTGACAACGCAGCTAGGGGCTTCCTACAACTGCTACTCCCTCGCCTGCTGCTTTGCTGCGTCTCCAGAGCTGTCGATTGTCGACAGACTGGTGGAGAACTCTCTGAGACACCAAACACTGACAAAGTACTCACAGGGGTGCTTACCGGTGCAATAGAAATCCTCAAATTTCACATCGGTTCTCCATCTCATCTTCTTGTTACTGGTCTGAACCCCGTCTTCTCCGATGGAAATAGGCGCCGACAGGAGAGAGTTCTGTCCCATTCTGTGGGATTCTGGGACTTTGTCAAAATATTGCCCAAGTAGAGATTTCCTGGTATCCAACCCAGGAGAAATTAGCACCGCGTTTCAAGCTTGAGTGCCTGTCGCAGCGATGCATTCCACGACGGGCCAGATTCGATCTCAACGTCATTGATTGCGTCATGCAGCCCTGTCTCAGTCCCTGTAGTGGTCCAGTTCGATGCCTTCCTCTACACCTCTTCGCCGCTCCAGTAGACTCAGTAGACGTAGGGGTCATCAGGGTCTTCCTCTCGCAGTCTTTCTACTTCTCGCTGTGCTCCTCCCAAGAACTCGCTGACTCTCCAGGGGAAGCCGGCCTAATATGCTCCAGTCGGCATCTCCTTTCTTTGGAAACCCAATAGTTTCCGCCTTCTTTGCCGCGATCACTCCTGGCCCTGACCAATGCCCTCGCCTGCGGCCCTTGCGTTGGTGAGGTGGACTGCTTCGCCGATCTGCAGGTGTCGTGCTGTGGTCCTTGCTCGTTGCAGGTGCTCGCCGAAGTTGGAGTTTTTGATCTAGCTCTTGTGGAAGGCTTTCTCGATGTCTGGCTCTTGTGGAAGGCTTTCTCGATGTAGGAGCCGGATTGTCCTCGCTCCTGGTCACTGCGTGGAAGGAGGTACCGCAGTCGGCGACCGACAGGAACGAACGCTTCTTGTCCTCCACATCGTGCACGTGGAACACGCCCGTCCCAAGGAGGTCTCATACATGTGAGGATCTGGTGCAGGCGTCTCAGAGATCATTCGCCGCACGCAATCCCACTACCGTCAAGCGCTGGTGGCCTCCTATCTTCTTCGGGACGATGTTGGTGACTGGGCACGACCTGTGCATTGTGCGCCCGGCCGTGGCATTCGATTGGTTCTACTCCTTCTCGTTGTCGGAACAGCGTAGTCTCGAGGTTTCCGTTCTGGCTGATGAACATGTGATTCGCAACCCTGCGCGAAAATGCGTTCTTCTTTAAAAAGAGGAGAATCTTGTCGATGTCCATGTATCACGGTTGTCCGTTTGTTGCCAAGTTGAATTTTCATGAGCTCGATGAGGGACTCGTCGTCGCTTTCCTTTTCGCCGTCCAAGCTAATACGTAGTTCCCCCATGTGCGGTGTGGTCGGCGGACTCCTTCTCTTCGGCCTTCTGATAGTAACCCGCAACCCCATCCACCGGGCTCATATACGCTGAGGTCGAGAGCTGCCGCCTCCTCGATCGCCTTGGTGTCCCCGATCTCGAATAGAGCGGCAAAGGCGTTGCAGTCGGGAGCACATGCTTCCGTCGTGAAGGACTTTGCTGCGGAGAGCAGAGTCGCAGACAATCGTGTTTTTCTAGTCTCTTTCGTCCATTCTGCGGAATGCAGACAAGCATCTTTTCCCTGCCTTACTGCAGGGTGTCTGCATAGTAGGACACGCCGCTCACACGGTCACGAACATCTCACATCACTTGTTTCGTCGGGAGCTGCAGCAGGTGCTCTAGGAACTTCGCCAGAGGGTTGCGCCATCGCGAGGATCACGGACCGCACAGGCTTTGCTACCAATGTGAAACGAAGAGGATCCGGGTGGTGACTAGCTAAGGCAGCTAGGGGCTTCCTACAACTGCTACTC